AAAAGAGTTTTTAAGAAAAAAACTATTTAAAAGATAAATTGGTCTGTGTGTAACCAAAAGTCCGTTCTTTTTAATAATAAAAAGGGATTCATGGTCGGTTACGTTTGGGGAAGGATTAACACCCCACAACGCCCAAAATTGGTACATGTTGATTATAAATTGTCTCTAATAATAGAATTTAAGAATTCAAACATAAATTTAATTTATTATCCTCTTATTCCAGATTCAATCGCATAATTCTAAGGAAAATTAAAATATTAAAATAAAATTAAAGTAAATATATATATATATATATATATATATACTTAGGGTTTTATAAGTAGGGTATTTATTTATTTAAAAATATTAGAAAATGACATCTAGTTGCTTTAAGACAATTTTTTTCTTTGATATTAAAAAATAATAAATATTATAATTTTTCCTAAAAAATAATTTAAATAAAACTAAATTAAATATAATATTTTATTTATTTAAAAATATCATAAAACGACATCTAGTTACTTTAAAACAATCCATTTCTTAATATTAAAAAATAAATAAATATTATTATTTAATTAAATTATGAAATTATTATAATTATATTGTATTTCATATAAATATTAGTAACTAAAACATAAAAAAATAATTAAAGTACTATATTTAAAGTATTGAAAAATAAAAGACAATAATAAAAATAAAATAAAATTGCAATTAAATAATGACCAAAATAAAAGGAATTAAAAGCTATAGGACTAAATTGCAAATTATAAAAATTAATGGAAATAATTAGAAATATCATGAAATATAATTACTAATAATGTAATTAGCCCTTAATTATTTAATCGGTGATTAAAATATGAATTATTAAAGCCTAAGGGACTAAATAATATATTTACCTTAAATATATAAATATATATATATATAGGTAGTGACTAAAATATAATTAAATAAAATTCAAAGACAGAATTAAAAATGCTCATAAGTGTAATTAGTGACTATAATGCAAATTTACAAAATAATAGGGACAACGGATCGCGTTTACCCATTTCCCAAAATTACGTATATACCCCTCCCCAAAACGACATCGTTTGGGAAGGGGTATATAAACCCCAAACGGCCAGCCCTAAGGGCAATTTGTTATCATTTTCTGGTTTTGCTTCTCTCGATTTCCTTCGCCAGAAAAAAAATCGGTCACCGTTTCCGGCGCCAATCACTGCTGCAGGCCACTGATGGCGGTGGCCGAAAAATTTCAAAATCCCAAAAAATAAAGATTGGAACGTCTTAAGGGCGATTCCGGTATCCTTTTTCCCTAAAAAGCCCCGAAATTACCTAGATCTACATAAATACCCTCGATATTTCAGTTGCTTTTGGCGGCGCGTGGAGGCGCGTTGTAGCTCTGGTGACGGTGATGTCTTCCTTGGTAAACTTTTCTCGTTTTTTTCTGTTTTATAATTTGGTTGGTTACTATGGTTTTTCTTTGTTTGTTGTTGTTGTTGTTGCTTCATGGATGTTGGTCTCTTTTATCTTGGCAGGATCGGTGGCTTTTATAGCCACCACGATACTGCTCTCGGACCGGTCAATAGAGGAAACTTCAGTGAGTCACCGAAGCTATAGTGGTGACTCACCGAAAGGTGAAGACGTGTGCGGTTGGCGTCGTAGCAGTGGAGCTTCTAGAGGTTTCTGGCGAGGCGTTGTCGTGGCACTGGAGCGTCGGCAGCGGTTGGTTGGAACACCTGGCGTCAAAGGCGACGGGATTCCTCGATCTAAGGCGGTGGCGCAAGATGATAACCTAGGGTTATGAAACCCTAGGGCTTCATGTTGGACCTTCTGTGGACCGTTGGGTCTCTCAGATCCAACGACTGAGATCGTTGGCGGTTGGGGTTGAGAATGATACAAACCTTATATCATTAGGGTTAAGCTTGGGCCGATTCTGATTGGGCCTGGATTGGGTCTGGGCCTTGGGTTGTTGGGCTCCGGGATTTATAATTAGACCTGTATTTTTTTATTTAATAATATATATATATAATTATAATAATAATAATTAAAAATAAAATGAAAAAATTAGTGTATACACCAGTCATTATGATAGGATTCTTTTACTTCGAGGAAAAATGATTTTGAATCCACTCTTAAGTTAAACTATGAATATATATAGAAGAAATTAGGTTGAGTAACCGACTAAACGAATTAAAGTAACTGAATAACCATTTAATAACGGACTAATGAGAAAATATTAATATTAACTGTTTACTACATGATTAGAGAGAAAATATTAAATTAACTGGATAACTATTAAGTTAACCTGTAGAGTAAACATTCTAGTGACTGACTAAAAAGATTAAATGACATGATAAATAAAAGGAGAAAAATATAAAAATTGAGCATAGAAAGATTCAAACTAGCGACCCTTAGGAAACTAAATGCCAAGCTTAACAATTGTCCTAAAGGAATGTTACTTTGAATAGTAATATTTTTATTATTAGGCGTGATTTATTACTCGGCTAAGGGAGGCATCAACCAGATCTCAAAAAATAATTCTACAGACTTCTAGAGCTTCCCCTCTCTTTTCATCATTGGAACTCCAATCACTTTTCTCCGACCATTCATCTGTCACAGTTGGGAGAGAAGAAGGGTGATTGGAGGCGAAGGAATTGAGAAATTTGAATGGAGGGTTAGGGATTTTGAATGAAGATTTGGGGCTAATTGCGAATCACACTGAAAAGGAGAACAAAAGGGGAGACACGTGAGGATCACTTGGGGTAAAAATATATTAAGATAGATGGAAGCAAAGAGCCCATTACCTGCCAGAGGAAGGATGAACCAGGCCTGGATGTCATCAAGCCCAACCCGAAATAGAAACATTTATCATCACTTGCATAGAACCGTTGCAATTAGTTACAGAGACTATCAGTTGTCTTGAGTGTGATACATTATAAAAAAATAAGACTATGTACTGGGAAGGAAGAATTCTCATCAGATTATTGAATGAAACATTTTCTTTCTAAAATCTATCCTCTATTCTCTATTCTCTTCTTCGAACCCTTGAAAAATTCTCAAATACTCTAAAATCCATAATAATTTTGGCATCACAGTCTAAACTCCTGGCAGACAGTAGACTGATATGCCAAAGAAGACCCAATCCATAGCAGAAACCACCGACTTTTCTGCAACCCAGAAGCAGATTGAGGATTTAACGACATTGATGAAGCAAACAACGGATTATACTAATCCTCTCAAGTGGTGGGAGAGCCAAAATGATTGTATAAGCTATTTGGAAGCGAAGATGAACACAAATCAAGGCTATGTGGAGCAGATATTAACGATTTTGACTGGGAGAAAAGGCGAGCCAAAATCAGAAAACCCAGACAGCGACCAGGTAAAGACTCTTGAACCCTCTAAAACGGATGGGAAACGACCTATGACAGTGACTGTGATAAATGAAAAGTCACGCTACACATACCAACCAGATGAGCCTGGTATCCTTAAGTCAAAACCAGAGGAATCTACAAAAAAATATGCCGAACCAACCATTAGAGGTGCAAAGGGGAGATAACAGTGGGACAAGAATGCTCCAAGGAGGGTCTATGGATGAAAGACCAAGTCGAAGGGGGTCGTATGGCACTTCGGGGTCCATGTTTCTGATACCTAAGGTAGAACTACCTATTTTTTATGGTACCAATCCCAGGGGATGGACGCAAAAATGCCATAATTTTTTTCATTTGTATGGGATTCCTGATGAGGAGAAGGTAGAGTTAGTTGCGATGCATCTTATAGGTAAGGTTGAAACATGGTTCAATGGTTACATTTTGCAGAAACACCTAGTTTTGTGACACGAGTTTGAAGCTGATTTGTGTCACCAATTCTGTGACCGAGCGTATTCAGATGTAATCGAGGAATTCAGCAAGTTACTACAATCATGAATTGTTGGAGAGTATCAAGAAAAATTTGAAGAGTTGAAACCTTTTATGTTGCTACAAAATCCTACTTTGGGAGAAGAAATTTTTGTTTCTATGTTCGTCAGCGGGTTGAAAGAATAAGTGAAACAATGGGTTAAGGCATTGGAACCTAAAAGGGTGGCTGAAGTTTGCAAGTAGGCCAAACTGTATGAGCTATCACTGGAATTTGAAAACAATAGACAAAGGTTAAATTTTAAAGTCCCACCCTACCCAACCCAAACCACTTTTCCTAAACCAACATCAAACACAAAGGGATTGAAGCCTATTCCTAATGTTCAAAACAAAAAACACCTGGCTAGAATATCGAAGACAGCATAATTTATGTTTTAAATGTAGAGACAAATTTCAACCGGATCATCAATGTAAAGTTCGACAGTTAAATGTAATGGAAGAGGAAAACCCGAAAGAGACACTTATCATCACCTGCGTAGAACCGCTGCAATTAGTTACAATGACTGCCAGCTATCTTGAGTATGGTACATTGTAAACAAACAAGACTATGTATTGGGAAGGAAGAATCATCATCGGATTATTAAATGAAACATTTTCTTTCTAAAATCTATCCTACGTTCTCTATTCTCTTCTTCGAACTCTTAAAAAATTCTTAATTATCCCAAATCCATAACATCATGGTTCTCATCGTGATACTATCAAAACCGCTTAAATGATTAATTATTTAGTAACTATTTAGTATCCGACTTCTAGAGTCTTACATACCTTAAAAAAAATTGAACTCATTATTACTTTCAAATCGAATTTTAGGAAACAAACTAAACCCTTATGAAACGAATAAATTTTAAATTGTTTTTGTTTTTTTTATTTTTAATTTAGTTCTTAAACTATATATTTATAAATTATTCGTATATCTATTACCCGGTCTAATCGATTTCTATAGTACTTAACCTGCTAAAAATGGGAAAAAATTTCTTCAAGATATTAAAAAACAAAGTTTCTTTTTATATATTTAAAAAGACGAATGAAAAAGAAAACGAATATTTTGTTATTTCCACCTCTTATTATAAGTACTATACATTTGTATTATATGCGATAAAAAATAATTAGTCATAGATTTAATGTTTAAATTATTTCAAAAAAAAAATTAAAAAATAAAACCCCGGGATTGAAATCAAGGTTTTATCAGTGAATAGCAACGGTGCCAGCTAGGTTAAGTTCCAACAGATATGATTGCAGTAGACTCTTTGTAGGCAGCCATGGCTTTCTGCGGCAAAGAAATTAAAGCACACAATTATGATCCCGTAATTCATCAATACAAACAAAAAGAGGGTTAAAAGGAAACAACATCGTTGAAGAGTTACCTATTGGGCACGATGTCTGTTTAGTGATCCTGCTCGTGTAGGGTAGCAGAATAAAGGCTTACTGTTGTTGTTCTGAGTAAATGTTTGCTTCTTTCATATCCCCGGATAGATTACTAAGTGACCAATGAAGAAAGACAGTTATTAGAACTCATTTCTTACACCATGAATGGAAGTTGAATGTGTTTGAACAAAAGATGTGTACTTGACTCTTCTTTGTCAGCTGGAGTGGTTCACTTGATTAGGGGCCTCTACATGACCAGGAATATGAAAATGCGTGTGATTCTCACTGAAAAACTGCACCCTTGATGCCAGTCTAGCAGAAATGCTTCAATTGAAGCAAGTACCCTGGTTTTATGTATTGAGCCGGCATGCCAAAAGGAATGCAGTCTGCAATGTTTGCAATACCAGTGCCCATCCAGAAGGAAGAGCAATGCAATGGCCTCCTCTTCGGTAACAAAAATGCAAGAATATCAGACAAAATACAAAGAATCTATTCTCCTCCAATTCCATCAATTAATATTGAATATGTATTAGGGTGGAGCTGGCAGCCCATTTTTTCCATGATGCTTAAGAGTTCAGTGCATCTATCAGCAAGTCCCTTTATCAGCAAGCCATCAATAAGAATCTTCCAAGCTACTTCATCACAATTATAACCACAACGAAGCAAGTCACCAAAAATTGTCTCAGCCTTATCCTTGTCCCCTTGATCATATCGTCCGCAAATCAGCTGCATGTAGGAATCTAGATGCGGTAACTGGCCAGAATTGATCATTAGCTCCACCACTGTGGTAGCATCATCATACATTCCCAACTCACAGAAACACCTCAGAAGCGAATTGTGGACATCCTCACCAGGAGATATTCCTTCATCTCTCATATGACCAAATAACTTTTGTGCTACTAAAAAGCGGCCAACTCTGCAAAGTTCTATAATAAGCTTGTTGTAAGTGTTAATATTGGGTACACAACCATGTTGACGCATTTTCTCAAATAAGTCCAGGGCAGTGTCAAATTCCATTGTCTTCCAGACATCAGCATGATTAACTAGCATGGAATCTGAAAGCATATCCAATGCATGGCTTTCCTTCAAAAGATACTTTATTAAAAAACAGTATGTATGATGAGAAGGCTCACAACCGGCATCAAACATACGCTTGAGAACATCAAATGCAGAATGCATTAATCCCAAACATCCATATGCATCTAAAAGTAATGTGTAAGTAACAGAATCAGGAAAAACCCCTTCTTTGTTCATCCTAATCACCATATCCTCTGCTTCTTTTAGCCTCCCTACACCACAATACGCACGAATAAAAGCAGTATAGGTAAATACATCGGGTTGACATCCCAAGGATATTTGTTGATCAAGAGTCCTATGAGCACGATCGAAGTCACCTTCTTTAAGCATCCTTTCAATGAGAATTGTATATGTCTCTACTGAAGGCTTCACACCCATCTCCTTCATTTTCTCCACCACTAACAATGCCTCCCTCACATTTTTAATGTTGCACAACCCACCTATAAGGGCGTTGTAAGTGCATGAGTTTGGAAAGCAGCCCTCATCAATCATTCTATCAATCAAACAATTAGCATCTTCAATTTTCCCAACCTTGCAGTATCCATCAATCAAAGCAGTATATATAATTTTATTTGCTTTCACGCTTTTCTCCTTGAGAGAGTCAAACAGAATACGAGCTGCTTCTACCCTACCAGCTTTACAAAGAGAATCAATAAGAACACTGTACGTCCATTGGTCGGGAACCAAACCGTTCTCCTTCATCATCTCAAGCAGCCTGAAGGCATTATCTAACTGCCCCATTTTACACTGCCCATGAATTAACGAATTATATGTGACCAAACTTGGTACCAACTTAATTTCAAGCATCTTACCAAGAAATACCATTGCTTTGTGAACATTCCTCTTACAAAACCCGGCTATCAATTCATTATATGTTCGGTCATTTGGACAACAATTATTAGATTTCATCATACCCAAAACTTCCAATGCGGCCTCCATTGATCCATGTTTGCAATAGCCATCAATCAAAGCATTATAGGTGACCACACTTGGAACCAGCCCTTTCTCTAACATTCTACCTAGCATTTTCCTTGCTTCATCAACCTTATTTTCTTTACATAAGGTATCAATGATTACCGTATAAGTATGAGCGTTTGGCTCACACCCTTTATCCGACATTTCCTGGAATAATTTTATTCCTTCGGACTTCCTCCCCGCATCACACAGTCCACAAATAATTACTGTATATGTACGAACTGTAGGACAACAAAAATCATCCGCCATCACCTCAAACAACTTAATAGCTTCATCAACCCGCCCAGCCTCACATAGCCCATGAATAAGATTCGTATAAGAAACCTCATTTCTTCGACAACCCTTAGTCGGCATCATTCTAAAAATCCTAAATGCGTTGTCAACATCCTTATTCCTGCAATGCCCCAATATCAACGAAGTATAAGTAAACGTATCCGGACTCAACCCGGCTTGCACAATCTTACTGACATAGAGTTGAGCCTCAACCACATTCCCAATCTTACAATAACCATTAACCATAGTATTCCAAGTAAAAATATTTGGCGAAACCCTGTCGTTCAACATTTCACTATAAACAGATTTCATTTCATCAATCATCAAGAATTTCGACAATGACATCAATAAAAAGTTGTAGGATCTAACCGAAAGGTTAAATCTGAAATGAAGCTCGTTATCCTTGTTCATATCCTTTAGCAATTCCAAAACAAACCGGGTTTCGTCTACCGAAGCCGGGGATTTGATCATGGCAAGGCGGATTTTATCAGCAGGACCGAAGAATTTGTTGGCGACAAGGATGTTCAAAAGCGCAGAATAGGAATAAACGGAGTGGTTGAAATTGGGTTTTTTGGAGATCCAATTGGAGAAACCGAGGGCGGTTTGGGGAAGAAGAAAAGGGTTGAGAGAGAAAAGGGAATGGACATGGGAAGAGGATATGGAGGGAACTAGCTTAGGGAGGGAAGGGTGTTTTTGCCAATTAGGTTTGGAGAGTATCGAGTGAAGGAGCAAAGGGAGATCGTGGTCGGATGGCACTGGGTCTATGGGGAGAGATGAAGGGAAAGATGAGAAGGATTTCGTGAGGAAGCAGCGGAGATGGAAGGGCTCGCCTGGTTTTATAATGACCGCCGGAGTTCTCATCGCGGAGGTTCGGACGGTGGCGATGGTGGAGGATCCATTCATGGAAAAAAAGAAAGAGAAAAGAAACGGAGGCGGAGGACGGGTAGCGGGTGGAGCTCAGGTAATGGTGGCTAATTCGGCCTAGGTTTGCTCAGTTAAACGCTTCTGGGTTCTTTCGTTGTTTGAGGATTGGGCATGGTGATGGGTTTTAGGCTTCAATTATTGGGCTTCCTCCATTTCTTGAGCATGTCGACTCCCAAATTGCGGCCTTTAAACGATAAATATATACTCGTTCTTAAACTTAATTCCTATGTTCAATTTGGTATCCATAGTTTTTTTTGTCTAATTATATTTTTTATTTAAATCTAATTATTTAATATTTATATCTGTCCGAATCGGTCAACCTTATAAAAATTCTAATGATTTCATAACTTTATAAAAAAAATATAAATATTTTATTTCAAATATAATAATTAATTAAACCAAAGAAATCATAAGTATCCAATTGAAATAAAAAAACTCAATTAATATAATAATTTGAACTAATAAGTTAAATTTAGGTTCTTAATTATAAAATATAAAAAATACCAAATTAAATTAATAAATCAAATTCAAGTGACAATTTTAGAAAACAAATTGAAATAGGGTTAATTGCTTGTTTGAAACATGTATTTTATCGAATTTATTAATGTTATGTAATTTTAATTTTTATCAATTTCATACATGAATTATTTCACCGTCAATAATTTTACTTACGTCCATCTCGAATCTGACATAACAACAATAATAAACCATTTAAAAAGTGGCACATAGCATATTTTTTACCATATATATATATATATATATATATTTCATTTTTTGTAGCACATAGATGAAAGGAAGGATGAAAGTGAGATATTGAATTATATCAAAAGAAAGAAAAAGAATTTTGATACGCTTGAATAGGTTGAAGAGAGAGATCATAGATATATAGCTTTTGTTTCTTAACAAAATTTAAATAAATTATTTAGTTTAAATTTATGTTTGAATTATACTTTATTTTCTCTTAATGTATATTTTTAAAAAATTTAGAAGGATAAAATAGATAAATAATTCCCAATTATAAGATGTTTTATTAAGCCATTAACTATTAAAAGTTAAAAGTAGTCCCTCAAATATATAACATTGTTTTATTGAGTCTTTCAACTATTAAAATTGATAAAATTGTTACATGACTATTCATATGTTTCAAACACATCCTTATCCATTAATAAATGGGTGATCGTCTAAGCTTGATGTTAATCTGTTGACTAATATTTTTTTAAAATCTGATTCTAGAACCGTTTGAGTTATATGTTATAAATTGTCTCCATTTATATTATGTCGTCAAGCCAATGCATGAAATATTATACCGTCGAACTAGTACTTGAAAGCAAGGATGGTGTCAGTAGATATCATTAAAATATAATTTTATCATATTTTAGTCAATATGTTAACATCTAGCTTAGACGATCGTCAATTTATTACTGGAAAAAGACGAATTTGGAACATATGCATAGTCGAGTAACCATTTTCTAATTTTTAATAGCCAGTGGACTCAAAAATGTAATGTCCTATAGTCAGGGGACTATTTTGTAACTTTTAATGGTTGAATGACTCAATAAAATAGCATTATAGTCGAGGACTATTTATATACTTTACCCAAATTAGAAATACTATGTAATTGGTGAGTGTTTGATCGAGTCGAAACAAACAATTTTGAATTATTTGAGTGGACGAGTCTTATTTTATAACTCGCATTTGACTCAAATTTTTTTTTCGAGTCGAGTTGATTGATTCGAGTTTCTCTTTAAAATTAATTATAAATGTTTATAATATTATGATACTATTTAATTTCAATTTAAACAATTTTTTATAATCATATACAATACATATATATGTATTTATATTTTTTTTCATATATGATATACATATATCATGCAGTATCAAGGGATTAGACTCAAACTTGAAAATCAAATCTGTCAATTATTAAAATTTTTGAATTATTCGAGTTATTTAAGTTGCATTTCATAACTCAATTTGAACTTGAATTTTTTTAATTGAATTTTTCAATCTGAAACTATATGTATATTTTTCTCCACACTAATAAAAAAACACTAAACTCTTCAATTCAATCTCCAAGATCTATCTCTATTAACTCTTCTGATCTATATATTTTATATTGTTACTTTAAGGATCATTAATGAAATTTCAATTCTTTTCTAGAGCCCATAGATGTCTGCATCACTAAGGAAGTTCATGATTTATCATATATTTGTTTGACCTTTAGTATTATTTGGTAGTTCTGTATTACTGAGTTTTCCCAAAACTCATTCTATTACTTATCATTTCAGGTTAAAGGAATTGATGATGTGCTCTTTATCGACATTAACAATGGGAGTTCCACGAGCGTTACTTGTGGAGCATGATACATGTGTATTTGGGGGCATGCAGGTTACAGTTTGTTTTCATATTAGAGTTTGAAACTTGTTTTTATACCATGTATTATCGAACTCTGTTTTTCGGAAAGATGACTGAATTGATATATATATATATATATATATATATATATATATATTGAGATTGTTTTACGATTTTAAAATTTTATTGGTTAAAGTTTTGTTTTTTCGGATTTTGAGTTGGTTGCTCTGGTGGCCACAATGTGACACTTTAGATCAGATTAGGTCACTTGTATTAGTCTGAGGGTGTTAAATCAAATTATCGTTTTAACCTTATTAGGTTAATTTACTAAGAATTCTTTAAGAATCAAAATGTCTAAAATACCCCCGATATCATGAGTAATGAAATCACTTCTGTTATATCTGAATTTTAAATAAATTTTAATATAAAGATTCCTAAATACCTTTCTAATGCACCCGAAATCCTAAATCGTCATGAAGCATCAATTTTCTGAATGTTTAATTAGATCTATTAATGAATGAACCCTTTTAATAGCGATTTCGATTATGAATTCCGATCAATTTACAGAAGTTTCATGTTTTCCCTTTTTGATAACTAGGAAGGTAACTAGGAAAGTTCCTCTGAAAAATTAATTGGATCCTCTGTTCCTTGAGTGTCATATTGTTTTAAATACATGCGTACATACACGATTGTTTTATTTTCTTCGAAACCTAATTTTATTTTAATAATTTGACATTTTGTAAATTTTTACAATTTAGTCGCTTCTATAGCCTAATGTGACGTTTCGAATTGGATGACATGAGAGGCAAGACAAAGGGAAAAAGGACGAGAAGCTTTTTGTTCTTATATCTTCAACTTCATTCCACGTGCAGGTAACGCAGCTGTGCTCACCTAATGGCAACTGAGTTTGAGTATGGTATGGCAACACGCTGGAGGTAGGCTCGAACTTCTAACCTTATGGGTAAGGGTCACACGCTCTAGCCAACTGAGGTACTCCAGCTTTTTGCTTACGGTCATGAATTTTATTTAAATAACTTTTGATAGATTGGCTAACTTGGATAAAAGAAAAGCTGAAACCTATTGCTCGGCGGGGATATACATGTTGTTCTAAATGTCTAAACGATAAGTGTTCCACCCATGGATCGAGTGATACTGATATAAGATAGGTTGGAAAATAAAGGACAGAGGTATATTTTTATATTAGAAAGTGTGAATTTTAAAAAATATATTAGATGTGAAATTATAAAAAAGATAATTAAAGTTTTAAATAACCGATGATAAGTCAATCATAAACATGAAAGCATGTCTACAAGGAGTTGACCTTCGATATCCTAGCGGTGTGAATTTCTCATACATCTATATTGAAAAGCTACCCTAGTCCTAGTCAACTATCAGAATCTTTTAATACATAGAAATAAGATATATCTTTGGAGGAATTAATCTATCACATAAAAATTAAAGAAATCAATTTACTTTAAAGATAACGATTCAATCACGATAATGAATTATCATTTAAGATTAACACCATAAAACATTCCTTCAATCTCAAACTTAATATATTCATAAATATTGATAATCCAAGAAATTAAGAAGACTAAAAATATCCAACAGATCGATGAGGTGTTACATATACCACTATGCAAGACACGAAGCATATCAATGCTTCCAACTTTCTGGCCACTCCATAAATCACAACCAAAATGAGCACAAACCACAAGTGCACCATAAAGGATATTGTTTTTGCTCGTGTTAAATTTGTAATATAACGAACCATACAATATATTCTAGATCTCTTCAATTTTAAAGTTTCCTCCAACTCATGTATTTATATAGATTATAGATAAACAAGTATGATTAAAATGGTAATATAAGTTTTGAAGTTATAGGGTTTAGGATTGAAATTTAATATAAAAAGAGATATTTGACAAGATTATTAATAGTCTGGTATGATTACAAGGTAGTATATGTTCATAACTTTCTTAATCAATTGATATCACACCATGCAGAGACAGTTGCTCGAACCCATAATCGATAATATTTTTTTTATCATTGAAATAACAAATGAGTTTGAGAAAATTTCCTTGACTATTATGTTTGTACCATATAACATCAAGGTCTAACATTAAAATAAGGTGAAGAGGTATTATCTCTTGGATCATCAACCGCACTTCTAAATTAGTGAAGACAATGAAACAATTGGAATTAATTCAGGGCAGAAGGTAGTGGTCGGTGTAATGCTGCAAAAAGTGGGAGAAAGTTGTTTGTTCCTTGTCCAAATTCAAAACGGTGCTAAGCTTTGTTTATTTGTGCGTACAACTACCACCTATTAATCTCACTTTAACAAATTACAAACCAACCTCTTCCAATCAATTAAATTCGTTTGGTCCAGATTCTTGTCGTCTTCTATTACATGAAAACGAAACCATTCACAACCATTTCTTCACAAATTAATATGTTTATCATAAATTTAAATATATAAATTAAAATTTTGAAGTCAGTTGATTTCTTGACCAATGCTTTCATTTTCTATGGAGTTATTCGTACCAATTGTAGTTGGATTCTTTTAAGCCTCTTACCCAAAATTCAAAGAAAGCTTTAAATAAGCAATAATGTCGCTGTTAAATTTCTATACACATCAAATTTTATTAATTGAGTCTTTCGGCTGAGATTTTTTACATATACAAAGACTCGAACTTGAAACCTTACTTAACTGATATCAAGCGACTTACCACTTGACCT